AAATGTACTTAAAGGTTATGAGAAATTTTAAACGTTGTGTCACATTAAATGATAAAAAAATAATAAATATTTCTAAATTATCTGGTGATAATCACAGTCCTCCAGGTTTTGTTTCAGCTAATTAGCCAGAAATAGAAATAAAGAGAATGCTAGAAAATAATCAGTTTAAAAGGTAATTTAAAAGCTGATTGGAGAACAAGTTCATGAAACACTAGAAAAAAATCTAAGAGCAACAAAAACTGAATCCAAAAGGTTTGGGATTTCCTGTTATTTAGAGCTTCTGTCACCATGTATGTTCAGTAGAAAGATGCTTTGTTCCACTTTTTCACTAATAGCTCTAGAATATACGTATATCTGCAGTATTTTTTCTTTGATAAAATCTTTTTGTAGACATTCTATGGCTGATTAATGCTACAAATTGATATGTATTTATGGCCTGTTTTGATGTAGATTATGTAGAAATATCTGTTCTCCATCCTTTCATATTTTCTAATGCCTTTTTATATTGAATCCAAATATTAGGAATGCATTAAGGAATATTTTGATATTTTATGTTTTATTTGAAATATATAATGAATTAAATTGACTATGGGTGAATTAAATCCCTCCCATCATCCCTCATTATCATGATGCAAATTAACAGACTCCACTGTGTATTTCTAACCTGCAGACTAGTTTGTCGTTAGTGTCTCCAGCTTCAAGATGATGAACACACTCTCTGTTCTCCTTCTTGTCCTCTTTCTGCAACGTAAATTCAGTCTTTGTGTTTATGTTAGACTGTTGAGTAAATATCAGCACATTTTTTAAGTTCCCCTGTCATTTTTAACTCGGGCTCTTCTCTTTATCCCATCAGGTTGTTCTGGTCAGACAATGGACTCCATACAATCAGGTCCAGTAATAAAAAGGCCTGGAGAGACTCTCAGTCTGTCCTGCAGAGGATCTGGCTTCACATTTACCTGCTGTACTATGAACTGGATCAGACAACCTCCTGGAAAAGGACTTGAATGGATTGGAGAAGGGTATTCTAATCCAAGCAGTAATAGC